GTCCAGTGTTGTTCATGCAATAATTGTCCCTCTGTCCCTCTGAAGGACAGTTCTCTTGGTGGAGCAGATGTTGGATGAAACGTGATGTTTGGCTCCTGCAGGTCTCTGAGCTGCACGTCATGGACCGACTCTTCTCATGTTCTCAATCTGTTGTTCACAGATGAGCAGAGCTGTTTCCAGACCTCCTCGTCACGCTCGGATCGAACAAGTCATGTTCGTCTCTGAGGGCGTTCACGTCTCGCTGTGGGAATAAAAACAGTCAGCGGGTCGGAACCAGAACCTGCCACCATGACATGAAGTCAGCCGAGCCGCAGAGTTTCCATTAGCTGAAGACGGGACCGTCGGGCTGGAGCTGCAACCATCACGATGTTTGTTCCAGAAAAATACAACCTTCAAGGAAGAAGTCAGACATGTGTGTGTGTGTGTGTGTGTGTGTGTGTGTGTGTGTGTGTGTGTGTGGGGGGGGTTATTAACAGTTAATATCTTACCTGCTGTTACACTCAGGAAGTGAGATTGATTGACAAGGAGGAGCAGAGGGAGGCGGGGCTTTGTGTCTCCATATTTAGCCGTGAGATGCCGTTTCTCTTGAGTGACATCATAAAAACAATCAAATCAGCCGAACATTTATAAACACATACAGGTCCGAGTTAAAAAAGAGTTAAACTACGAAATCAGAAAATCTATAAAATAAGTAAAACTATAAAATCAAGGTCAAAGGTTCTTTAATGTCATTCCATCACATGTGCACACAGGGTCCCAGTTACATCCAACAAAAGTATAAATTGTAAAAGAAAAACAGTAAAAAGATTTAAGAGAAAAACGATAACTAAAAATACACCAAGCAAACAACACGCCGAACAACAGCAGCACGAACATGAGCCTTTGTGAGCAGATGAGTACGAATGAACACAGCACCATGAAATAAATCAGCAGCATGAGATCAGCAGCATGGATAATCAGCAGCACATGTCAACAACCAAGTGACATCACAGTGATTATTCTGGTTACAGAGATTCATGAGTCTAACCGCCTCAGGGTAGAAGCTGTTCCTCAGTCTAGTGGTTCTACACTTAATGCTCCTCAACCTCCTTCCTGAGGGGAGTGGGGCAAAAAGT